CTACGTAGTTCTGCAATGCAGTCATGGTGACGTGTTCTTATCGTATCACCCTCCCTAGCCACAAAAATAAGCCTACCACAAACCTGTCTGATTTCACCAGGAGCTCCAGTGAATGACATCAGAGGGAAAATATCATCTGTGCATACAAACACTGATGAAAATTTCAGCAACTAAGCAAATTAAGCTAAAATACCTGAACGATACAATGGTTCTTCACTGCCTCTGCAGATCAGCCATTTCCAAACTCTTCAGGTTTGAACACTGAATTTTGGGGAACCTGGTTCTGATCTGATCTTTGAAGCTGTAGCTCATTTCTGCCTGGGATTAAAAACAAACATCCTAGTGATAATGCTGCTCATTCAGGGAAATCTAGAAGGCAGAAAGGGAAAAAAAAAACTAGTCTGCATGCCCTAGAAAAGCAAGAACACATGCCCACAAAAGGGTTAAGCTACAAGACCAAACGGCAGAGTCCTCTGGAAAAAATAAATAAAATCAAATGGACAGTAAAACCTATTTCCTCCCAGCTAATACCATTACAGAAATTATCCAAAGAGCATGTGTCTGGGGATGGACTGAATGATGCTCTGAGAGATGGAGTAAATAGGATAAACAAGCTCTGTGCCAAGAGCAGCTGAACCCCGTCTGGTGCGCCTTCTCCCACTGCTACCACTTAACATCATGCTAAGTGGGGTTGTCATTCACCCTTCCCTACCAGCGCTCCTGTTCCACGGGGCTTCCCTCTCACCATTACCCAAAACAAGGATGGAATCCCAAATTCTTCCCTCCCCCCCGTCCAAGACAGACTGCCCAGACACACGCAACCACCACAGCTCCCATGTTCCCCGCATCACCTTGCTTTTCAAGAGGGAGGCAAAAAGCGACATACAATTTGATAAGGAAGCTGACAGTCACCTATGAACGAGCCACTTTGCAAACCATGAGTTTATGACTACAGAGGAAACATATCCAACATTTGTGGCTCTGAAAGGCAGATATGGCATGATCCCAGGCAGTAAGTCCTTCATAGGCAAGAGAGAAAGGCAACCCCTTATCGCCCAACTTCAGCTATATGTTTGTACTGAAGGGTCCAATTCCAGAAAAAACATGAGAAGAAAATGTCCCATTTTCCCAATTCCTTGACTTGTGTTACACCCTCTCCCCAGAAGATTTTTTATTATAGAAATTCTTTGCTGAAAACAATCCCAAGCCTTTTGTTTGTTTTTTGTAACTTCAGAAAGAAAATCAATGACAGTAGAAAGATTAAATCTGTTCAATTTGCAATGAGAATTTACAGGTCTACAGGAGCTCTTCCAGCCAAGATTACTGCTTGAGAATAATCTTGGCCAGAACTTCAAACACAACACCCCCATTTTCCTCCATCTCCTTTCCCCTGAACAACAGGACTACGTGGGACCAGGCTGGCATCCGGCACTCTTACTCCCCTTCCCAAAGTTGACCTTTCCAGCCCATGAAAACAGGAGGTCCAAAAACACTTATTCTCAAGAGCTTTGGTCTAGTTTGGCCTCCAACCCAAACTCCTGGCTCTTGCTGGATCCTGCCTGCTGCATATACATCTCCAGGCTCAGATCCTGGCAATATTTGTGAGGGTGCTTAATGTTACTCCACGGAACAATGACATCCTTTTCATATAGTAAAGAATCAGGCTAGAGACAAGCACCTCACACATGCTTGTAAGGATAAGACACTGCCAGGAAAAAAAAAAAAAACCTCAAACATTAACTGTGCACAATTGGAAATTCAGGTCTTATGATCTCAGTTCACTGCTACATTAGGTGTCCCTAATGTCAATATCCATTTCAGCACAATTCAATTATAAGATTTTCATTAACTAAACCTGTCCTAATAGCTTGGCATAAACTTCTTATGAAGAAGGATCCTGTACAGCAGCTGACTGGAAAAATCTTGAGCACTGTCACATTATTGGGTTCATTTATGCACCAGTTTATGGTGCCCCCTGTCCTTGTCAGATGACTGCTCCTTGCCTACATTAATAGCATCTATTTTGCCTACAATTTATTTCCTGTTTCCAACACTGTTTATGACAGTCTGGGCAGCTGGAAAGGGGGCAGCACAGCAAACCTAATGGGAGCTCACTGCGCAGAGCTGTGTTCAGGGTTCTGCTGTCTGCTGCTTGCAAGCATTTCATACACCGGAGGAGCGGAGCTCTCACTGCTTCCTGCGCTCCTACAATCCTGCCAGCTGAGCTTGCCTTCAGCAGCTGCTGTCGACAAGCAGCAATTCGTAACACCATGGAGAGCACGCTCACTCTCCTTCTAACTGCTGCTGTTTGCTTTTTCCTTAAAGGTGAGTGATCCTTAATTTGCTTATTCTTTGTTGGTGAAGGGGGAAACTAAAGAGGTGAACAGGAGATTGTTTTGTGCAATTTATTTTTAGGAAGAGTTGAAGCTTACTCCAGACTAATGAATGAAATATAAATGAAATGTACAGATTCCTAGGACAGCTTTTCCTGTTAGGCTTTTTTTTTTTTTTATTTCTCCTTGTGAAGTAGTAACAAGTTAAGTAGTCCTGACCTGAGAAGCCAAACAGAATCACAAAGCCATTTTAACATTAAGAAGAGAAAGCTCCCTACATATAAAGGTTTAGTCTTACATACTGTAGAGTATGGAAGGACTAGAAGAAAGAGACAATATTAAATAGCTTTAAATGTGTGCTGTGAACAGTGCACCTCATCTCTGCAGATATAGAGAGCACTGAAGGATTTAAATAAAAATCCATTAACACACTTATTGTCTAGATACAGTAGATGCTAGATTTAATTACAGCGCCGTGGACATGTAAAAAGGCTGACAATTTGGGAGGGACTATAATAAAGAGAAAAGATCTAGCTTAAAACTATTTACCTAAAAGATTATGGGGCATTTATTCCAGAAATCTTGATCTGAGAGATACACCTCATAAATATGAGATATCAATAAACAATTATAAGGGCAAGGCTAGCTGTTAGAAAGCCATTTCTCCAGAAGCATGAAAGAGGGTTCATTTTTAAATTAGCAAGTTCGCCTGAGTGACTTTGCTAACCTGAAGATAAAATTAGCATGCAAGTGTTTTTAGCAAAATACAGTTCGACATGGGAGGACCCTCTTGCCTTAGCCAGAGTGGATCTCTTGTAAAGATCAGAAAGTAACATCTGCTTTGTGAAACAGTGCAGATCAGTCACACACAGACACTTTGCTTCCCTTCCCTTTGTCTACTGAAAAACAGCAAAATCCAGGAAAAAAAATAAATGTATGTCTCCTTGCAAATCGCTGTAGTGTTATATTTGTGTTTCAAAGGAATCATCAATGGTTTGCTCAACAGACTTCAGCTGCGTGCGTTTGCCAAATTCATGTATTAACAGGTATTTTTTTCCAGTAAAATGCTGGAGGATATTTTGTCCAGGAGAGATTTCAAGAGAAAGTGCCCTAGAAAGAAAAGACCATTGGCTTCTGGATGCTGTCCAGCTCTCAGGATGCTTATTGCTTGGCTCTAGGAGTAAAAAGATAATTTGAAATGCAGACTCTCAAAACTCACCCCAAAACAGTTGGAACAGCTTATGCTTTAAAACAATTTCAATTTGCAGCTTCTTCATCAACCACAAGCCGCCACGCGCAGCAGTACCAGCAGCAAAATGGACAGTAGGAACATACTGTGAATAGAAATTGTTTAGAACAATAAATGGGCTATTAGCAGGCATTCTCTTTGGATGTATCTTTGAATGTAACGGTTAAACAATTTTAATCGTTGTTTTCATATTTTAACAAACGGGTGTTATCACCACTATAATCATGTAACCATGACTCAAGCTAGAAAGCAGTCATCATTTTCCTGAGAATCCTCATATTAAAAAACGCTCCAACAGCTTCCAAGCGCCCCAGTCTGCCCAGTTGCGTCTTTCCCTTCCTCCGCTCCCTGGGAGCTCCGACTGATCCGGGGGGCCAGGCGTGTGAGGGGAAAGTGCTTGCACACCTCCGGTTTCACTAATACCACCAAACTATTTTTGAAATTACCTGCAGAGAAGCATGTGGAAGGAAAAAAAAAAAAAAAAAGTATTGTTGCGCCTTATCGCTCTTCTTCTCCCGGCCTTCAGCAAATGTCGAGAACGAGACAGCAGCGCCCATCCACGCAAGGCCTTGCCTCGCCCGACTGCTGGCGACTTGTCACCCACCGAGGGGGCCACTGGGGCCCTGGGGGAGGCCGCTCCAGCGAGGCCCGGCCCGGCGAGGCCCGGAGGGGAGGCCGCTCCGGCGAGGCCCGGGCCGCTCCTGACGCCCGTCTCCTCTCGCCGGCAGGCTGCGGGGGCGCCG